AGCTTGTACAGATTAGAAAGCGTGTGGTTAAATTAGCACTCGATACACCGCAGTTACAAAATACGAAGACAGTATTTTGTATGGTTGTACCGAAAAACTTTTACGCGCCCTTAAAATCTCCAATCCACAGTGTAGATTTATGTAGCGACATGGCAGATGGACAAGTCACTTCTCTTTCTGTCAGTAGATACTTCAGGAACTCCCCGTCAGGACTCAGTAAATGGACAGTGTGGTTTGTGGGGTCAGTAACAAGAATGTTTGAATGGATGTCGCATTCTATGTTAAATGGACAAAATCTTCCTATCAAATCCTGTCCACTGTATACAGTCTTCAGATGACCAGAAGATGTCACAATCACAATTTCACCTGTTGTGTCGCTGGTAAGGTTCACAACACAAATATCAGTGTTCCTATTTTGCAAGACTCTGATAGGCCATGTAAAGAGCCTCGTTTGACTTCCTTTCTAAAATTCAAACTCATCAGCTCCGGTTAATGTATATTTTTTTACAAGACGTCTGCTGCAATTGTTTAACTGAAAGACAGGGGATTCATTGTCTCTTAATGTGACGAAAAGTCCACCGTCCAATGATTGACATATCCCGTCCGGTATCAGTGGTGTTGTACTTACTATTGTAAAGATATACCCAGATGGAAATAGACGACAAATAGAATTTTTTTCATTATCAGTTATATAAACGTTACCATTCTCCGTGACACAAACACCCGCAGGAGACAATTTGATTCGGCGCTTTAGCTTTCCTTGTTTGTTGACTTCATCAATGCAATCTGTTTGAATATATTTTAAATATAACATTCATCTTCGCAAAATGCCTGCAAAAAAGCAATTCCATCTTCCACATATTTGAATGAGTTTGTTTCAGCATGACAAATGTCATCTAATTCTACTATATGTCCAATCATAAACTCCAGCATATCCTGCGTGTATTCCCCTCTAATGTACTTTGCTGTATTTCCACACTTATGAAAATATCTGTTCATTTCACATAATAACTCTTCAAGTTGTCTGTGATTGTCAATCAAGCTGAAATCAGACATGGTACTATTGTTTTCCGCCATGAAATCCATAATGTCAATTATAGATTTCCTTATCTTTTCTAAATTATGTTTTGCATTCTTCATCTTTTCATTCGTTTTCCTTAGATTGTCTTTCAGTACATCTTCTTGATTTTTCTTGATATCTGTTAGTTTGAGTATGATATCATCATAGTGCCTTTGTAAGTCTTTTACCTGAGTGTCACACATACTCTCATTTTCTTCCATCTGTGACACCATCTTCTGCATCTCTTCGTCAAGCTTTGATATTTTTTCTTCCTTTACATTATGAAGATATTCATGGATTCCTCTTCTTCTTTGTAATGCTGCCGTGGCTTGGGTTACCCAGTTGTGACCATTATGGTTTAATCTTGCACAGATAGAACAAATAAATGCATAACATTCCTCACACAGAATGTCAATGATTGAATCATGTTCCTCACAAATCTTTACATGCTGTAATGGAGAACCCAACGGATATTTTGTTTCAACATCCGCCATTTTATTTAAAGTAAACAACCCACCCAACTGTGACCTTCATTAAGAGTTGTTACGTAAAAACCAAAAGCCCCCGGATACGGAAGCGTATGAACGTCACTTTCAAATCTTTTTTAGATTAAAATTTAAACACTTTAAAACTGAAAGATTACACATTCTCTATTAAATATGCCTATTAGATCTATAAACTTTAATCAGAAACGTTGTCAAAATAATTAAAAAAACTTATCAATCAATTGTAACCTTTTATCTGCAAATACATTTTAGCATACTTCTATCTGAAAAGTTTACCTCCTTATGTGTAAAATTAATTTTTATGTTTTACATCAAAATTCTAAGAATGCTATTCTAATACAGAAGTTTTAATTGTTTAATTGCTTTTATAAGGATACTAGTATACTGAGAGTATATGAATACATTATTCCAATTTTAATTAGATAGATGGGAAAGTCCCACAGTTTAAAGCAATAACCAATAAATAATCTCTAATACTAGTTCATTCAACATATCAATGATGTTAATTTTTCCCCAAGGAATTCTCTCATGGGAAAATATTAGTATTTTTAATTTCTCTTAATGAGTAAATATTTAATATATAGATATACATTAAGCAATGTTGTTTTATACAGTAATTTCTTTTAACATGTCATAACAAAAATATGCACTGTTATAGCAATTGCATGTTATGAGTAGAAGACTTGTATTTATATCTTGTCCCTTATATTCTTATATTTAGAATATTCTGCAATTGATTTTTAAGCTGAATTCAAAAGTTTTCTCTTCGCAGGTACATGTATGTTAAGGAAGCATATAAGTCATTTCTCGGAAAATTTAGACTTTTTAAAGAAAATCAAGTTTGATAAATTACCAAAACCGCTGATAAATATAAACTGTTATTAACGATTACATATAGATAAAAGAGTGTCTAACTCAAAGACATGCACCACCGCCACGGCATCACGTGACTTCTATTAATAGCGAAATTTTCCTTAATAAAAAAGATAACAGAACAACAATACACCGGAGTTTAATGATTTCTTTGAGTAAATAATATAATTGAAAAACATCTATTTTGCCTAAAAAGTGCTGCTAGAATCCCACTGTCCAGTCAGTAAAATAATTATTACACACATTCGCACTAAACCCTACCCTATGTTTTGAATTTTATGCATATGAACCGAGATTTTTCGTAAAACCATGCTTAACTCGGGATTCTAGCAGCACTTTCCAAGTTTGTCAGAAGGCAAACCTTCCATATATACAAATCTTATGTTTTGAAATACCCAGCTTATTGTTGTTCTGTTGCATTATTGTTGTCACAAACGACAGAGGAAAGGCCGACCGGTATACGTATATAGCTGACTGTCTTCGAAAGAAAATATAATCGATGGAAATAAATTAGCATACCTGTTTATTTAACTGAACTCCATATAAATTTCACATAATATTCACGATGTTTCGTTTTAATCTCCATTTTACGTATCTCAGTACATGTTGTCTTAGCCAAATTCTCTTTACACGACATGATCAATTCCCAAGTAACTTGATGTACACATATGACGTCATCATTAATAGATTTTAATCAAAATGAAAGATACAGCATAACAAAATAAAAACATTTCATTTTTGCTAATGTTTACACGTTTCAATTCATTTTCTAGAGTTTGATTACATCTCTAAATACAAATATCACGAAAACTTGTGTACTAAAATTGACGTCATATCGCCCACTATGACGTCATAATGCAGCACTGATTTAGTCAAGGTAGAATATTTCATATGCTTCCTTATTACCCCTGCGTTTTATCAAAACATCATTTTATAGGCATTGCTCCTATTTTATATCCCTCTTCTTTCCCCTCTTTTTTCAGTGTTGTGGAGCAAGTGTGATTCTAATATGTTTACAAGAAGACATGTACAGAAATTGTCGCAGTGGTGTCTGGCATTCAATCTCCTAGACATTTCTGAGATCGTTCTTAGAAATTCTTTTAATTCTGGGCAGCACTTCTATTTATTATGTGCTGTGGAGCATCTTATGGAAATCTACTGTGTTGCTACCAGAACCAGTGGCTGTGTTTCTGTTGCTGCTAAATGCTGCTATGTTGCTGTATGGCAGCAGCTGGACATGCTGGGTTTTAGCCTCTGTAGGCATTAGCTCTTCAGTGTGGATGATGTCAAACCACTTTAAGTTAATACCATACTCAGAGAAAAGATAATGTTGCATACAAATATAGAAATCATGACTCTATAGGTTAAGTGCTTTATTAGTTTTTGTATCTGATACAAATGTTTTGTTTTATACATTAATATACATGTACTGACAACAAAACTGTCAATAAAGTTCTCCAAAAGTTTGTGTTTGCTGTTTTAATACTACTGATGAATATTGATAATATTTCGAACTTTAGAAACATGAATTCCTGAGGTGTTAATTTAAATTAACTGAATTTTCTCTTCATTTGTGTATTTTGTAAACTTATGACAACATAGTAGTATCTCCATTCTCTTAAACAGTGTCGAAATGATAAAAGTCATCAAGGCTCAAAAATAGTTGTTTATTGTCAAACTATGAAATGAATAAAGATTCAAGGAAAATGTCATCAAATGTTCTTTACAAAGAAGTTTATATGCCTTAACTATCAGACTTTGGCAAAAAAGCGGGAAATATGTATTACCCAGGACAGCAATTATTTTCAGTTTGAGATTTCATGTTTGTTGTTTTAGTCAAGAAATACATTAAGTATAAAATATGTGTATATTGCTTCGAAGTCAATGTTCGAACTATTTGTAAATTCAACACTTTTCCATTTGCAAACAAGATTTCAATTTTATTCCACTATCGTTTAATGAAGAAGAAAAAGTAGTTATTATAAAAGGAAAATACTGCAGCGCTTGACAGCTTAGGATCAACAGGATCTCAATAAATTTCACGGCAAACTTTTATAAATAAACACTTTCACAATTCCTTCACCAGTTTCCACCCACAGTGTAGACTTGTGCTGTGATAATGCCACTGGTTCTGTTACTTCTTTTTCTGTCAATAAGAATTTCAAAAACTCCCCTTCCGGACTCAACAAATGGATAAGACTGTTGGCTGGATCAATAACGAGAACGTTACATGTGGAGTCACACACCAAGTCAAATGGAAAGAAGTTCTCCTTCAGGTTCTGTCCACGATAGCCAGATCGCAGGTGACCAGAGAGAGATACAATCACTATCTCACCTGTATCGTCACTTGTCATGTTCACAACACAGGTATCAGTATTATTGTTCTGACAGAGTCTGATCGGTGCTATAAACAGTCTGGTTTCACCGTCCTCTTGGTACTCGTACTCCTGAATGACATCACCGGTCAGTGTCAAGTGTTTTACTAAATATCGACTGTCCGAGTCTGGTGTACAAGCATCTGTTTCAGAAACTCCCAAAGAAACAAAAATTCCACCATCCACTGAATTACATATTCCTACAGGTCTCAGGGGGTCAGTATTCAAAAGTTTCGAGACGGACCCTGATTGAGAAAGATAACAAATAGAACTTTCCCGTTTCGATGTGAAATAAATACCACTAATATTTACAAAAAAATCATTTGATTCAAAGTTTAATTTCCGCTTCTTCTCTCCTTTTCTGTTAATCAGTTCAACGAAATCTGATTCTCCACCCGATACGTAACATTCATCTTCATTTAAAATCTCTGAAAAGAAAATCATATGTTCACTGTATTTAAACGAATCTGATGCCTTAGCACTGATTTCATCTAAATCAAAACATTGACTTGACATGGACTCCAACAATTCATCGTCAATGTCCCCTCCTCTGTATCGAATTAATAGTTCTCTACATCAATGTCCAAGTCATTTACCGAACGTGTCAGGTCTCTGTGGTTCTCTATAAAGTTTTTATCAGACATCAGGTTCTGTTGTTCTCCTCTATGTATTTCACTATTTCGAATATTTTGGTTTTTTCCCTGTCTACTCGAGATTTCTCATTTGCTAAATGTTCCTTTCTCTTACGCAGATTGCTTTTCAATTCTTCCTCTTTACGTTTCCTGATATCTGTTAACTTGGATATGACGTCGTCAAAATGCTTCTTTACTTTTTTTATTTGGGATTCACATGTCCTTTCATTTTCAGTCTTCTTTTTTGTTATCTTCTCATCTATCCCCGGCACTTTCTCTTCCTTTATCTTCCTCAGAAACTCCAAGAGACCTTTTCTTCTCTGACTGGCCGCCACACCCTGTGTTATGTTCATTGTGGTCTGTTTTTGCACATGTAGAACAAATGAATTCATCACAGTCCTCACACACCAAATCTATAGGTAAATCATGACTGTCACACATCTGTATATGTTCCTGAGGAGAACCAACTGAGTATTTCGGTTTATTAGCCGTCATTTTACAAAAATAATTCAGTCTGTCAATGTTATTCAGTAAAGATTGAAGAAGGACCTACGGATGTAAACTTATATGTGTAAATATGTATTGAAATATAATGTATCTCTTTTAACTATATGAACAGTCAATAGAAGAGGAAGTTTTTGTTCATCTGAATTTTAATAAATGCTTAAATTATATAAACAGTCAATAGAAAAGGAAATTATTATTTTTTTTCTGAAATTTAAATGAATGTGATTTTGTTAACATTAAATTGTCTCAAGCATATTTTGTTTTTATATACAAGGTCTGATGAATTCTTGTTATATTTTTGAACATTAACAAAATTACACATACATTGTACATCGACATATACTTATTAACATTATGAACTTAGTAGGGAAATTTGATTTGATTACATCTGTCCTTCAAAATAAGATAACCACCATACCCTCAACTCCAGGTCATGTTAGTGTCTCTAACACTATACCTAGGCCTTTCCACTACAAATATTTTTTCAAGTTGTACATACGATAAACATCATTTCGTAAATAGATAGGTACATGAAATTATCTAAACAGGTTATAACTTATGCATACCTTGGATCAAATCATCAAAAAATTTAATCATTAGTAATTGACTTACACGATGATGTGTTTTAAGGAATTAAAATGCTTTTACAAGGCTTATTTTGTAGATTACCGATCACAAGATGTGAAAATCTAAATTATGCTTTCATTTTATATTTTAAAAAAACCGTTGTATAGATAGGTAATTTAAGTGCAAAAATTGACCAACTTAGTGCCGATTTATGAGTTTATAGGAATACATATAAGAGAAAACCGAACACGCAACGAACGAAAGTATCTCGACGATATGAACAGTATTACTAGTCCAATGTCTTTGTCCGTGATAAAATTACAAATTGTAAGTGTACTTTATTTTCCCATCATTGTATTGGCGCGGTTAAAAAAAAAACCGTGCAGGGCGGAACAAACAGCTAGACAGAAGCAGGGTTTGGATGTTTGGATCACGTGGATTAGCGGGATCAAAGCATGTAAAAAAAACACGTGCAGGGCGGAAATATAGCTAGACAGAAGCAGGGTTTGGATCACGTGGATTGGCGGAATCAAAGCATGTAAAGCATTAGGAATAACTGTCAGATTTTTCAATTTCATGACGATGCATGATCAATCGATTGGTTTGCGTAATAACTTTATGCCTTCGTCGTTTATGCCAATCAATAGTAAATTGTGCTAAGCTCTTGCAAAGCGTTGTATTGATTATTGTTACAACATATACATGTAAGTATGGCACGCCAAATTCACAAAAAACAAAAACAAAAACAAAAATTTAATTAATGTGATATGCTTTAAACAAAAACTAATATTCCATCACCCCTGTAAATTTGTGCTATACACTGTACAGGAATTGATGTGGACTTTTACATTCGACGATTTACTTTGACATTTAAACCTGTTAATGCATCATGTACGCGGGGTACAGTATTCTTAATGAATAAGAAAACCTTTCTAGTTGACATAGGTATAGTAGGTCTTTCAGCCGCCGCTAGGGTTCGATTGTTGGAACATGTTTATTATTTAAAAGGTTATTTTGGTAAATAGCTAATATCAACATTTTATTTAGGTTACCAATGACCTTGGTCTTGACTTAAGTTGTTGTTCCTCAAAGAAAGTGGTAAACATAATGTAAAATATGAAAACCTTAGCTAAAAAAAAAAAATCAATCAAACGCCAAGGTCCAAAAATCTAGATATACAATGCAAAGGGAAGGTCTTGTCACAATAAATCACAAAGGAAATTCAGTGTATGAATAATGGACTATTAATTAGTACGAAAGTAACAGCTTGAAAATATGAATTTAACTTAGTTATATCAATGTTCATACTGAAACACTTTCACGAGCCCGTCTTCATTTCCTATCCACAGCTTAGGCTTGGACAGTGATAATGCTAATGGGGTTTCTATTTCTTTTTCTGTCAAAAGGTATTTCAAAAATTTCCCTTCGGGACTCAACAAATGGATCCTGCTATTGAGGTGATCAGCAACAAGAATGTTACAGATAGAGTCACACACAATGTCAGTTGGCCAAAAGTCCTCTTCCAGGTTCTGCCCACCGAACACAGATCGTAGATGACCAGTGATTGAAACAATAACAACTTCGCCCTTACAGTCCGATGTCATATTCACAACGCAAATATCCGAGTTCTTATTTTGACAGAGTTTGTAAGGAACCGTAAACAGTCGAGTTTGGCCGTTCTTCTGAAACTCATATTCTTGGATGACGTCACCGGTCAGTGTCACGTGGGTCACTAAACGTCGACAGCTTGCGTCTATCTCATCAAAATTATCGAATCCAGGGTCTATCAAAGATACTAAAAAACCATCGTTTTCTGAGTCACAAATTCCCAGTGGTTTCAGTGGATCTGTACTACACACAGTTAAGTTTGATCCTGATAGACAAAGTTTGCAAATGGAGTCTTCTGTTGTAAAATAAATATTTTTACTGAATGCACAAAAATCACTACAAAAGTCACCAAATCTAAATCTGCTTTTTTTCTCCCCTTGTGTGTTGACCAAGTTCATGTAATTTGTATCTTTAGCCATTAGTAGACACCTATCATCACTTAATGCCTCCAATATTAAAACTGAATTTTCACTATATTGAAATGAATCAGTTTCAACGGCAGTGATATCATCTAAGTCCAAAAACTGACCAAACATGGACACTATTATGTCATCATCATCCGACTCCCTATAGATCATGGAATAGTCACAATTCTCTAGCTCATTGTCGACGTCGGAAAGCAGATGAATCAGATCTCTGCAGTTCTCTATTAAGTTTTTATCAGACATAGTGATGTTGTTCTCCTCCATGTGTTCTATGATTTGAATTATTTTGTTCTTTTTATCGACAAACCGAGATTTTTCTTTGTCTAAATTTTCATTTTTCCTACGGAGATTACCATTCAGTTCTTCTTCCTTGTTATTCTTGATTTCTGTTAACCTGGATATTATTTCATCAAAATTCTTTTGTAACTGTTTTATATATATCTCACAAGAATTCTCGTTTTCAGACTTCTTTTTGATCATCTTTTCATCAAATGTCGGCAGTTTCTGTTCTTTTATATTCTTCAGGTATTCCAGAAGACCTCTTCTAATTTGACTGGCCGCTGCACCCTGGGTGACCCAATTATGTTCATTGTGGTCTGATTTGGCACATGTGGAACAAATGAAAACTTCACAGTCCTCACACACCATATCGACAGGAAAATCTTTGTGTTTTTCACACATCTGAATATGTTCTTGAGGAGAACCACCTGAATATTTTGGTTTACTAGCCGCCATTTTATGAATATATGCTTCTCGTTCACAAAGGTGGGAAAGATAATGTAACTATGCAGATAATAGAAAAAGTGTTGGAGAATCAAACATGCAGGTGCACTACAAATGAGAGGATTTCCTAACCTTATACAATCGTCTCTAAGATCAATAAACTAGCTTGTTCTAAATTTTTGTCGAATGACAGAAATGTCAAAACAAGCGAGTTTAAAAGGCTGATAAAATATACACTGTTAGGTTTGATTTAAAAATATGTATAGAAATATGGGATGAAAAGTACGTAGTTGTATGATCAATGTTGGAAAGCGGGAAAACTCATACAGAAAATCGTGTAGAGTAAATTGCCAAAAAACAGTGAATTTGCATTACGGGATCTGATTACTAGTATTTAAAGTTTGGAGTGCCTCAAAAAACCATTTCTCAAAATTAGAGAAAAAATGACTATTTCTATCATTCAAAAATCCACTTAGACCTAACTGATAAACCTACTGCTCTCATCAATATTTCATCAACAAGAACATGAAGTCAAGAAATGAAACCAACAATAATTCACAAAATATTGAAGATAGGTTCTCATTTCGATAAATAGTGCAAATGTTGTAGGAAATCATCAAAGAAATGCAGGTTTATGCCCTATTACCCTCATTGGATTGAGCAATTTGCAGAATCAGTGTAACGGTTAGAAACTGTTACTGACATAAGGTGACCGACAAATACAAGAGAGCAATAACTGAAATGTAGAGTGAAAAGGGGTGGTCGTCAGTGTTTTTTTTACAGGAACAATTGTTTAAAAATAAGAAATGCCTTATTTTTATAAAGGAATATTCAGTTAAAATCAATTTGTAATCTGTATAATACTATGTATGAAGTGCACTATGACAATGTTAGGTTGAGAATATAATAATGCCACGACGACGCGATGCAGCGATAACATGCACAACGATACAATAATCTGATGACAATACAGCTCAACAAACTTTTTAAGCTCACATCGTTTTTCGCACAAATTAAGGTCACATTGTTATAATGTAAAATTTTGTATTGAGACATCAAAATACATTTTAAAAGCATTTGTTTACATTATTTCAGTTTTATTTCATTTACCAAAACATAATTCATACAAATCAATTGCTAGAACTTTGATTGAAAAATGCTGGAAAATAATAACTATTTCCATTTGATTTTTTGTGTTTTTTGCCAATTGCAGCTGTCTTTTTGTCCGTTCTTTTGAAAGCAGTAGCTTGTCGCAGAAACATAAAATTGTGCACAGTGCAATATAAATATATTTTCTGTATTTTCTGCCTCTTTAGCACAGGGTGATAATAGTATTTTTCATCTGTTTTACTGCTTTGCATGTTAATAAGATGGCATTTTTCAGAGTCACCTTCTAAAATCTAGAATCATGAAAGATTCACCCCACACCAAAATTTTAACGTTTCAAACTGTAAATGCATAAGAATTTTCCTTTTCATAAAAAAAATTACTATTTAAAAAAATAAACAATACTTCATTACCCTACCCTGAAGTATAGTTTCTCTCTGCAATGTTATCCCTTTTCGGAATCTTTTCAGACAAAACCCAGATGAGTATGGTAAATGAGCAATTTTAAAAAATACTCACCTTTAAGAAGAAATTTTAAAATTTTCAACTATATTGTATCAAAGAAAGCACGTTTTATATCAACCTGTAATAGAGGCCTATAGTAGAAACATCGTTCCATTTACTGATAAATTCCCCTCTGAAACATCCACTTTGGAAACTTAAGATAATACTTTCAAAGGACATTTATCCATTATATATGTAATATAATGTCAAATATGTCATCGCTTTTTTTTTGAAAATAGTAATTTTTATTACAAAAATGTGACCTCAATTTGTGCGAAAAACGATTATTTTTGTTGAGCTGTAGTGTTAAAGAAAAATGACACGATAGTATGTATCATTATTAAACAGTCGCATTATTGCCTACTAATAATTTTACTATACCATCACATATTCGTTACCGTATTGCTGCGCCATTGCATTATTGTCATTGATACATGCTTATTGCATTATTGGTCATTGCACTATTTGAGCCCAAACCTTCATGGTGCAAAGACGCAAGATTGGACTTACTGGTCCTGTCTGGAATCCAGAACAAACCCTAGATGTGAGAAATTTTACATCAGGGACCTAAGCAACACACTTAGATTTCTAAAACGGATCCTTCTGGAATCCAGATAGGGCTATGTACTGTAAATCACTTTTTTATTCGCGAGAACTTTTTTTTTGCGTAATTACGCGAGTTTGTCTGTTCGCGAAAATTTATTTTTCGCGTATATTTGTATTATTAATATTTATATAAAATAGAAACCACAACTCCCGAAAATTTTGTCTCGCTTATAAATACCACATATTTAAGTCGCGAAAATAAGGTGTCGCGAAGTTATAGTGATCTACAGTATATCACTATCGAACATCCATTTTTTGGGGCGATGAGTGTGATATCAACGATCCAATTGTCATGCAAAGTCAAATGTGCCATACTTAATTTTTTGAAAGTATTGATAATTTTGAAAATAATTGTTTTTTATTGAATAATTTAAATTAAATCAGACTAATAATTTAAAGCCACATTATGTTATGATGTGTGCAGATTTACTATCTATTATGTCTTAAATATATTGTGCATCCCCCCTCCTTCAAAATAAAATCACGATACCGGTGTGTCTATTTTTAGACACTTGTTTCTGTAAAAAAGATGAGATCCCATTCACAATTATGTGTAAAAAAGTAGATATTAGAAATGTCATTTTTATCAAATTTTAAGAGCATTTAACCTGTCCATTTTATTGATTTTATTGTTCGACTTTTATTTTATAGAGAGTTTGGGCAAGTTTTGAAACAATGTTTGCAATAACTTCTATATAAAAAATTGATCAAGTCATTATATATATATATATATATATATATATATATATATATATATATATATATATATATATATATATATATATATATATATATATATATATATATATATATATATATATATTTATAGATATCTTTTAGATATGACACCTGTAAAATTGTAATTTAGAGAAATATGATATCAATAATGATAAATAGCGTGTCTCCGATCAAAAGTTAATTTGGCTTTTGTTAAATGTTATGTATAAGTTACTATTTTATTATGAAATACTATACTATTTCTTGTCAGCTTTTTTCGATTTCCAATGCTATACGTATCTATATAAGTAAAAATCCGAACATCGACCAGTCACTGGTAGATCCTGGCTGACAAAAGGTAAGAAATATATTTTTGTTATTTCCAAATTTATATTTAGTTGTGTGCACATGATCTAGTCTCTAGCAACTCACTAGATGAATTTCTTTATTCATTTGTTCTTGACCATCGCTATAAGTTCTTTTTGTACTTCTTTGTATATTCTTGTAAATTAAAGCTTCTTGCATTTGTTAACTTAACCATACGCTAAATGTTACATTTACTTCCCTTAGGGTTTCCTTTACTTCTTGTGAATTAAAGTTAAAATGCATTTGTTAAAAATAATAAGTAGTAAAGATTTACGTCCGTTTTTTCAAGATCAAGGCTGGTGTTTATAATAAAAATGGCATGATTTTTCAATTTTTTTTATAAACTTCATCTTAGCTAGAAAATGATAAAACGATATTTATTGTCTGCATATGATATTAATTTCTTTCATTAAAAAAAAACATCCAAAGTTGAATCAGAGAAAAGTACCGAAAATGTTTTAATCATTATGGACATACGTATTTCAGTGTCACAGTTACATTAATTTTGTTGCGATAAATTTAGGTTCGAACAAAGCATATTCTTTTTAACGGCTTGAAAACATCGGTCTTAATCTACTCTTTTGAGAGAACTTTCAGATTTTAACACTGAAAAATAAACAGGAACATAATTAATAAAGCTTTTCGTATTCTTGCAGTCCCATTTACAGAAAAAAAAATGACGACCTACTGCATCGTGTTTAGTCTGATTTTGGTGCTGAACTTCTTTGTGGGAACAACTCCATGGACAAGTGAGTAAATATAATGTACTATATATTATTTTTATCATTTATTCAAAGTTCTCTGATTGGCTTAAACTTGATCACATGATTAAGTATATAACAGCGGGCTTAGGTTACTATTCATAGAATCTGACATGTATATCGACTTGATCTTTCTTAAAATGGAGATAACTGTAAAACCAAAAATAATACTGATTTCACAATTATAGTTTATACAGTATATGTATGAAAAACTGTGTACTAAGAATTTTACTCAGTCTTTATGGTCGATCATAAAAATGCCACAGTTATAAATAAACTTTATATTTAATGTTACAGTATACGGAGACGAAGTAGTGGCATTTACTGCAAAGGTCTCCAGGGATGTGACATTCGGCAGTCACGACATTATCAAATATGACGCAGTTATGACGAATTTAGGCAAAAGCTATGATCCACAGACCGGAATATTCACCGCTCCATACGACGGGCTCTACAGCATCTCTTGCAGTCTTATGGCTCACTATAACAATGAAGTGCTTTTGAGAGTGGTTAAAAACGGCGGAAAGGTATCGAAACTCTACTCTGCTTCCAAGACGTATCCTCAAGCCGGACAAACTCTCCTTCTGCTACTCAATAAAGGGGACAAGATCTGGGTCCAGAATGACAAACCACAGTCAGCATCGCTCCACGACCATGGTTCTTATAACGTGTTTTCTGGCTTTTTGATCAAAGCTCTGATAAAATGATTTTAATAATCAAGTAAATCAGATTTTACATCTGTACACCTTTGATGTTTATTCAAGATGGAAATAAAAGAATAATTAAAACTTCTTTCTCACTTGTTTTTAGTAACTATGGTTTTTTCCTCAAGTGGTATGCACATTCCAGCTATACTTAGTAAAATTTCATATTGTGAATCTTCATTGCCAAAAAAAAAATTTTTAGGTTTATAGCTATTTCTCAAACAACCATTCGTAAAAATTCAAAACATTTAATTCATTACCGAACATGCTGTTGACCGTCCATGAATTTGAGGTACATGATGTTTTGTTTTGCAATTGCTAAAGGGTGTTTTAACAAGATGTCCCTGTGCCACAATGCTGACCTGAGTAACTTTGAGCGTACTGTTCACGATGATTCCCCCTTGTAATACCTGTATGGCCCCATCCAACCCCTGGGGGTCGTAATATAAAAAAGATTGAATCTACATCCCTAAGGATGCTATCACATAATTTTCAGAATTCTGGCCCAGTGGTTCTTGAAGATTTTAAAGATATTTCCTACATATTTCAATGTAAAACCTGAGATTCCCCATTGTGAACCTGCTCTTCCTCCGGGGGTCAGGACTTGTACAATTTAGAATCTGCACTACCCCTGTGTCCCTTATGCTTTCACACAAGTCAAAACTTTTCTGGTCCAGTGGTTCTTAAAAATTAACACACTTATTTTTGTCAATGGAATTTATTTCCTGATCATGATAAGGAGCACACGGCTATGTGACCAGTAGAGGATACTCCTCCATTGATTTCACTTCTGTATTACAGACCTAGTTTTTCCTGTGATAATTTGTATTGTTTATGGTATAATCAGATGCACTAAAAATTCCACTGAGAACGAAACCACTTTCCACATTGTACAAGTTTAAACTTTTATATATGGCCCAGTGGTTCTTGAAAAGAAAATTCTAAACCTTTTTTTTTCATCTATTTTATATAGTATTTAGCTCACCTGAGCCGCAGATAAAAAGTAGGGTGGGACCATAATGTGATAATTATTAAGTCCGTTTCAGATAGAAATATAAATATTGCAAAAATCTGATAAAGAACTCTTAAAAATCTTTTTCTCAGCATTAACAAAGTCATGATTAGTGATATTGATATGGAAGCACCCTCAAGTAGATTCAAGTTTGATCAAATCATTACCTAAAAGTTAAAGTGGGGCAATGAGGGTGGATCAAAGTTTTATATAGAAATATATATGGGGAATTCTTGAAAAATCATCTCAATAATAGCAAAGGCATGAATGATCATATTTATATGAACGCATCTGGAAAATAAGAGAAAAAAATCTCATCAATCATTTAACAGAAAGGCTATAAGAATTTGTTTGTATATTGACACACATGTCCCTTGTTTAGCATCCTCATGTAAAATTATTATCAGAAAACTAATTAAAGTAAGATTTAAATTTGTTCAAATAAATCATATCCCCTTTGGGACGATAAGGAGAAGCCAATTTTTGATTCTTTTTTTTGGGGGGGGGGGGGATTTTTTTTATCATATTTTGGATCAAATTTTATATTCTGAAAATATTATATATAATTACAGATTTTCAAAAATCTACATGAAATTTTTTTCCAAAATAATGACATAAAAGTATTGCTATGATTGAAAATATATACATAAACTCAAGATTTATTTATTTTGAAATCCATATTCATACTTCATATCCTATTCTATCAATTATTGATATTTGTATAATAATACATGTCAGCAAATACAATCTATTGATATTGCAAGAAATAAGTCAAATGCATGATTTCTTTCATCTGCATGTAATTGATGATATTTTCCATAATATTACATTTTCACTTGAATTGTAAATTATTTATTTCATCCATTTAGATCAATTTTTGACAATATATTATACCTTATATTTCCTCTCTTTAAAATGTTAAAAAGGATTTTCTTATCAGTTTCTAGACCTCCATATATTTTCATCAACTGATCTTGAAATAAGGTCATGTTAATGACTACACAATTAAAAAATGAAACAAATGATAAATGTGTCAAATGCTCCCTAAGACCCAACCAAAGAAAATTGTTTTCCCTAATTTTTGTCTTTTTGTAAGTTAATTGTCCCTGAGACCCGAAAAGATACTAACCAATGTTCTTTAATACTTTTATACCCCCAAAGTACACAGAATCACATTTGAGAAGGAAATGAATAAAAAGACCAGCACTTTCTATAAAATTTCTTTTAAGAGGCCCTTTGTCTGGAAGTATTCCAGCCTAATTGAAATTTGCCATATTTTTCAAACACATAAAGTGAAATATTTTCAATGTAACTGACTTGTTACATAAATTTTATTATTATTATTATTAAGAAAACAAATGTTCAGTTTAATACACTTGAAGGTGTTTGTCCACCAGCAGGTCTGGAATTATACAAAGTATAGAACTGAGAGTGATAAGTCCTGTCATGAGGAATTATCAAATTTGCCCACTCAGATGTTTTCACAATGGATGCAAATCTCTCCTCTCCAAGACGAGGTATAAGTCCGCATGTACCTTTCAGATCTGCTACAACTTCAGCTGGTCGTAGTGAACAAAATAAATGATGGTAAATCACAAACCATAAATCCAAAATGGCAGAGAATTTCAGTCTTTCACCATCAAATAGTTTTGCTCCATCAGTACCCATTTTTAGTAAGAAATCGTTTTGAGCATCATACATTGTAATGTCATATGAAGTTCCACTGATGGCACAAACTGGAATCATTGATGTTCCTGTTGATTCATGTAAGACGGATTCTTTACTTAAAGTCATTTCCTTGAATTTATATATGGATACTGCTATGGCTTGCTTGTATATTTGATTTAGATTGTTCAAGGATGCATGGCTTTCAACCAAGTTGTTCATATACATGAATTCATTTTCCTCATAACTATTATTGTCTGAATTGTGATGGTGTCTCGTGTTTTCTGATGTAGTCTTCTTCCAAGAAAAAATGGCACACTTGCTGTTATCAACTTCAAAGAGCATGTTATTACTGCTTGGGAATAAAACGATGTCAGCTGGTCCATAGAACAGACGGGGACTTCCTAAACAAACAAACAAAGCAAATCAAATATTTCAAAATATTTCAAATCCTGACTATGCCTAAATAAGAAAATGCTAGTACAACTACAAATAGAACACATAAACAATGATAAATGTTAATACATAAATATTGCATGTAGTTGAGTGTAAAATTGAAAATTTTCACCCCAAGAAAACCATTGTCAACCAGAGTGCAGCCGAGGTTGACAACATTGAGGGGTGAAATTTTTTCAATGTTACACTCAACTACATGCAATATTTATTAAATTCTACTGAATGTTTTATACAAATACATATTACAGTGAACCTTGCTTGCATAAATTCTGAGCAGTTAACATTTTTTTTGAATATTACTCTTCCTAAAGCAATGTTGACTGTTGCTACACTGGAGGTTGTGGCTTCCTTAAAAGTGGGTAAAAAAATTCAGGCAGGGCAAGTGAATTTTGACCATGTATCTGCCCTTGGACAAGTACCTTAAAAAGCTATTTGTCAGGCCCCAAAACCTGAAGTGGGTGTAATTGTCAAATAATTAATTTTCCTTCTTTCCTTTCATGAATATATAGAAAAAATATCTTGCCAACTACTTCGGCATGAACATGATGAAAGTGCTTGAATACATGGCCGGAGCCTTGGAAGCTACCTAATGATACAATTCATATCACAATATGGTCATGCGATACAACATGTATCATGATACAGCTTTCAACAATTAAA